GTAAAGTGACAATCATTTTACTGTGTGTTTATTTAAATACAATATAAATTGGTATGCCTCATAGGACAGAAAGCAACACTGTGTGTGCGTGTGTGCGTGTGTGCGTGTGTGCGTGTGTGTGTGCGTGCGTGCGTGCGTGCGTGCGTGCGTGCGCGCGCGCGCGCATACGCGCACGCACACACACCGCTGTTGTATGGAAAACTGTTGCACATAGTTAAATTCTCAATACCAGTTAAGAAATTCATGACTTCCCATATGATGCGGTTGCAACTGTGATTATCTTGATCTAGTTGGTTTAATCAGAAGAGATCTGAAGAGGGTTTTTGTTGGAGTGAATGGTTTCTATCACTGGTCTACCAAAGTCTGAAATGAATAAAAATGTAATACATTTTTATATAGTTTATCAGTTCTCATCAGATCTTTCTTTTGATTAAGGGACTGAAGGAGTGAGACATAGTAAAAGAAGAGACTTAGTTTGATGTGATTTAGAAGAGTTTTTTTAGCATCAGGCATTTAGCTAGCGATGTAGCTGACCTATTGAATTTTGTATGCTGTGCAAGCATTATGTATGTGTTTTAATAAATTGAAATAAATATGAAATCACCCATCCTCCATGATATTTTTGGTTACTCAGCTGTTACTACTTTTCAGTGAAAAACATGTGACAGAACTTTTAAATGTCCAGTCACCATAGAAAAGGGACTGGTTCTAGCAGATGTTATATAAAAAAAGAAATCTAAGGTATTCATAGACACTCAGTAGATATTGACATTGAACATATTCAACCTTTTGAAGCAGGGTGGACTTGATTTAAATCAAATCAATTTAAATCACTAGTCAGGAAGCCTTGATTTAATCATTGTTTTCTACAAAAAGTTCATTCTTGCTGCTTAATATCTTGTATTCATTTAACTTCTTGAAACCTTATATAGGTTTATTTTAAGAAATCTTTAAATAAAAAAATACAATTAAATAAAAAATCTGATTAAATAAAAAAAAAGTTGGTTTTTATCCACCCTGTTTTGAAGGCATAGGGTTCTGTTCATCTTAGCTTGGAAAAATTAACCAAGTTCTTTAAATGAAAGAGAATCAATTTTGGTTCTTATCAACTTACTGTTATTGTATTTTCTCACATGCCACATGCCCCAGCCTCTTTGCAAATAAGACCTACACCTTGGAATGTGGAATGCAGAAAGGGGTTCCCAGAATCATGGAGGATTGTGGGGTATACAAACAGTGTCCTCGAAGTGTGGCATCCCAAAAAAGAGTCTGGTACAGCAGGACAGCAATAAGTATAAGCCCCAGACTTTGGAAGGACAGCAGCAAGACAGTTACTACTTCACCATAACTTATAAATAGTACTTTATAGAAGTTCCCATAAATAATAGTGTTGTTGCCACACGACAAGCCTCATCAAGATCCTAGAGACTATATGTAGCAATTCATTCACCCTCAGCCAGCTCAGTGGCTCTTTAATTAAAAAGAGAGTGCTCTTTGCAGCTGCAGGGAGAGAAGCAGCCACCATCTTGGTATCTATGACTCCTAATGCCAGTTTGCTCTGTTCTGCCTTGTTTCTATTCAGTGAAAAAAAATCAGCTTCCCTAATTAAAATTCACACCCCAATGTTGGTTGATTTTTAACAGAAAAGCTGCATGTGTTATGAGAGTAAATATGGTAATTTTTTAGTGCCGTGGAAGTTTGGAATGGAGAAGAGAAGATAGTCTCCATGCTCAGTAGAATTAGTTAAAAGCAGAAGTTGCCTATAATACCCGAATGATGTCCAATATAAAGTATATCTTTGTTATTTTAGAGATGGGCTGTTTTATCAGTCCTTTTTGGGAATACCTTGATAAGATTGAATGGATTTTCCTATTCATTGTTTAAAGGAGATTTTCGTTTGAGGCCACTTTGCAGAACCTCTGATGCCTAGCCAGTTGGTGTTGCTCTTTTACACCAAAAATACCACTGGAAAGAGGTCTTATACACAAGTGTCTTCTTTCCCATTTTCTTTTTTATATTTGCTATTCTTAGTATGCCTCATAGGACAACTTATAAAATTCAGGTACTCCAGAAAGCTCAGATTCTGTTCCAACCTTGTGATGACAAGGAATAGCTATCAAGGAGGGCTGTCACACCAATGTTATGCTATTTTTGGCTAAAGTAGTATCCTTCTTTATTCTGTGCTCCTTTTCTTGGTACATATAGTGGACTCTTCATCCTTTCTTTGGCTACATAACTGAATACATTTTGAGCAGTCTCTAGCATCCCTTTAAGCCTTTTCATCTTTTAGACCAAAGGATTAAAATATATAGGTAGTAATATATATGGGCAAATCAAATCAAATTAATTTGTATTCCCATAATTTGAGTTTATACAGTTGCCAGCAAGGCATCTATTTTCCCCCCCCCAATTTTTTTTTAGTCTTTACGTGATGGTTTTTAATAAAACTTTGAATCACAAATATCAGAAATAGTACTAGATTTTTATGAGAAAATATTAGTGGAAAAAATAAAAATCAGTTCATTTAAAACCCTGTGAGGCAGAAACAATTTAGAAAATGTTTCTGGATTTTTTTTAATTGATCAGCCCTAGTGCTACTGGTTTGAAATGATCAGTTTTAACAAAAAACCAACCAACCAAACAAGCAAGGTTATAAATAGTTTCATGGGCTATACAACCTAGAGCCTTCCTGTTGGGTATACTGTTCTGTTTTTAAATTTTTCTCACTTCCTTTTGGCTGTTTAAAAGAAGTTACGTGGCACAAAGCACTGAACACTGGTTTGACAAAATTGTGTGTGCATGCGCACACAGGCTGTAGTGCTTGATATTGCTTCCATCCAAACCAACTGGAAAACTCCTAGTGCTTCAATAGTGCAGCCCTAAGTGCTTTGCTGAGGCAGGCAAGAGCACTTGCTACTCTGCAGGACTGAGCACATGGATTCCTCTCTTCCGCCTCTCCCTCCCTTCCTTTTTTTTTTATAGGCATTGTATTTAAAGTAGAAACAAATCGGTCTTGAGAAGGGATTTGAAGGTCAAAATAGCCTTGCATATCAAGTTAAACTGATTAGAATCTTTTATTACTGAACAATATAGATAATCTTCCTAAGTCCTGAGAAATGGTTGTTCTTTACTAAGGTTGGATAAAATCGTGAATGCAAGGTAATAGGGATTGAATTCTGGATAGGGTAGGATTTATAAGCATAAATAATCATCACTACTACTACCACTACTATTTTCATCATCGTTAGTCATAGTGGTAATAATAACACCATATGAACAGCAATAATAACAACAACAACAACAAACATAATTATAATTATTATGATTATTATTTTGGTTAGCAGTTCAAGTTCAACTATAGGCATACCCATGTAGCCTTGAATTTGATCTGCAACTTGAATTGAAACCCCAATTTTCTTCTCTTTACTACTTTTTTAACAAAGTAATGAACTTAGGTTAGCCATCCTGAATTAAGCATATACTTGTTTTTCACCATGTAGATATACCCTTGACTAAGGAACAAAAACCTAATACTGTTCTTTAACTGGATGTTAGTTTGTCTTTTCCATGTGTCTGTATTTTAGGATTGTATATTCCAGTTTTAATTCTATTTTTAGTTTGTCTTTTGGCAAAACAAAGTTGGTAGGGGTTTGTTCTTTCTCAGTGTTTTAATACTTTTAAAACACATGTAGCATGCCATTACAGTTAACTTAGGGTTCACCATTTCTGTCCTTAGCAGAAGAGGAGTTATTACTAACCCCAGTATCTCTGCTGAAACCTTTTCATATATTGGTGCTATATTTAAAATCTTCATATTTTAAAATCTCCAAAGATGTTATTTTCAACTCCAGTATAGGATATTCACAGCAATTTCACAGGTTGCCCCTAACCAGCTGAGATAAACTCCTGAAGATTTTTTTGTCAGCTATGCTCTCTACCCTGAACAGTGTGTGGAAAATATACCTTCTGACTAGCAGGAGCTCAATTATAACCAGCAGAGGAATTTCTTGCTGCTTTATCCACTTCCCAGTTTAAAGGAGTCTTAGTAGGCTTGCCATGAGCAACCACCACCTTGGGATATGTAAACCATATGTTCAAGAAAGGCAGAGTTCAGTTTGTAAAGCATCTACATTTATAAATATAACTACAGTCAGAGTTAGGGTGGCAGAGCCTTTTTTGGCCATGCTAGGTATGCAGTATTGCCAACGCTCATAATTTTTGGCATTGTTCTTAAAGTCTATAGTTCAGGAACGTGAAAAACTTAGCTCTTTCTTTTATTAAAAAAAAAAGTTTAAAACAACTCCTTTAGGGGAAGAACACTGAACTGAACTCTATCTCTATAGCATGAAGTATCCCCTATTCATTACCCTCCCTGGCATCCACCGTGATTGGTTTAGAGATGCCAAAGGAAACATATCCAACCATTCTGTTCAATAGCCATTCATAGATCTATCACGCATGAATTTATATAGTTCCTTTTTTAACTTGTCTAGGTTATCTGCCTCTACCACCTTTTGTGGCAATGAATTCCACAAGTTAACCGTGTTGCATAAAAATACCTTCGCTCGTTAGTTTTAAACCTGTCACCTGTTAATTTTCTGCAGGTGCCCCCTAGTTTTAACATTCTGGATTTGGTGAACAACAGTTCCCTATTCAGTTGGTCCACACTCTTCATGATTTTATAGACCTATCTCATATCTCCCCTCTGTTTCTGCTTTCTAAACTGAAGAGTCCTAACCTTTTTAGCGTCCAGGTATGGCAGCTGCTCTATGCTGTAGATAACTTGGATCATTGCTCACAGCACTCCGAAGTTTTTGCTGTGGTACCTTAGAATTAGGACAGTTTTTTTTAAAGAAGAAAACAGTTCTGCCAACTCCTCAGTCTTCCTCCATCCTATTCACCCCTTTCTAACTTAATTAAGATGCCCTTAAATTTAGAGTATTTTTCAAAGGCATGTCACAGTTTCAGCCTGACTTTGATTTTATGTCACACAGGGGATATGCCAATAAATCTAGTCCTGTAATTAACTGGATTACTTGCAGAAGCAACATACAAGCAACATATATTGAGAACTTTTCATAAAATGTGTTAGGTTACTGTTTCTTAGATTTCTAAGAGGGAGAACATGAACTAAGGGCTCACTACCCCCTATCTCTAGATATAATTATGCATTGATACAAATTATTGACACACCATTTTTTTAATAGTTGACCACTTATGTCAAATTTTAGGTGGCTATTATCTACTTAAGTGATCGAGTGGGAATACAGCTGTAATTGTTACAGCATTTTCAAACTTTGCCAACATTAACCCTGCCATTCTTGCACATGTTATTAAGAGGTTTATATATGCCACTA